TACTTGTAGTTTTAGCCTGATAAATGAATGAATTCTGATCATTCTGGTTTTTTGTTAGTCAAATACTACAGTAAATTATATATGACTACGTTCAAATTTGATAAGTTGATGTTTGCAACAATGCATAGGAGATGTCACAAAAAGATAATTCCTTTTCTCATTGTCTTAAGAACCTCTTAACACTATTGGCAGAGCAGAGCAAAAATAGATTTTAAGCATGCCCCACTGTTCTACTAAAATTGGTTCTTGTTCTGCTAAAATTGGTTCACATATAGTGAACTAAATGAGTATTCTCTATACTAAATCATTTGGTAAAACAACTATAATTTTTTTTTTTTGCAATTTAAATTGTCTGCCAAAGTGTTAGGGTGTAGAAAACCATTGTCTCTATGAAAAATAGAATGCTGTCAAACATACTTAGAATCAATTACAAAGAAAATTAAGACAGATTTTTGATAAATACTTGTTTAAATTATGAAGTTACCATATATGCCTAAATATAAACCAAGTTATTTCCTTTAAAAAGTATGCTGAAGAAAAGAATACTTTATTAAGATTTAGAACCTTGGTGAGTCTTTGATATTACTATTCGGAGAAGATTGTATTATACTTCATCTGATTTTTAATTAAAATCTTTCATCCTGTTTTCATTTTATTTAAGGTAAACAAATTTCATATTTCATACATACAGGTTTAGGAACATAGTGATACTTCTCGCCCTACTTTCCCTCCCGCCCACAATCTAACTCTTCCTCCTCCTTCCTCTTATTTTCTCTTAATTTATACAATGATCTACTTTCAGTTTTATTTAGATGTATTTTGCCATTCCTCTTCTAAAGTGCACACTCTAAAAATGAATGTTTCTTCTTTTACTTCCAATTATTATTGCTTGACAAAAAAAACATTTGTGTCATACATTATCTTTGTATCTACTTCATAAATTTTATTAGTCTTTCTATGTATGTGTCTGAAGAAAATAATTTGAAAGTAGAATTAACTATAAGATTAATTTTTTAATTTATGTAACCACATTTTTGTTTATATCTTCTTGTTCTTAATTTGTATTGCTAATGGTCAAATAATTATCTTGTAAATTTTGCTGTTTGATTTTCTTTTTGGCTTATTATATGTCCAGTTTCTATAAATGTGCAATAAATACTAGTAGAAAATTATATTTTCTGCTTAAAGTATAATTCACATTATATATCTGAAATATCAGCAAGTTAATAAAGTTAATTAATTCCGTTTTAATCTTAAAAAAAAAATGTAGTCTGAAATGTCTCTTCAGTGCTTAGGTTAGGTGTACTGGAATGAAAGTTCCACAGAATAGGGGCCCTGTGTGTTTTGTTCACTTTTGTATATCTAACACTTAGAGTATCTGGCACATGGTAGACACTGGATACATTTATTTGAAAGAATAAATGTTAATAGTTATACAGGTTACTTGGAGCAAAAATTTTAACAAATTTAGTTAATCCTAGAAGACCTTAAACTTGTGCAGATTCATTTCTAGGGTAGTGAGGCGAGAGCATTCTTCAACAAGAAGCACTGGAGACAAGTTTCGGTGAACATGCCCCGTTTATCAACTATCAAGCATAAGCTTTTTTTGTTTTGTTTTAAAGCTTTTAATTAATGAATGCAAATTTCATAGATATAACTTTAGGATATAGTGGTTCTTTCCCTCATTCCCACCCTCCCAGCCCCACACCCTCTCCCATCCCATTCTTCATTAAGATTCATTTTCAATTTATATACAGAAGACCAACTCTATACTAAAAGATTTCAACAGGTTGCGCGTGCGCTTGTGCATACACACACACACACACACACACAAAACATATAAAGTACTGTTTGAGAACAAGTTTTGCAGTTAATTTTCATAGTACAACTCATTAAGGACAGAGGTCCTACATGGAGAGTAAGTGCACAGTGACTTCTGTTGTTAATTTAACAGTTAACACTCTTATTTATGACGTCAGTGACCACCTGAGGCTCTTGCCATGCGCTGCCAAGGCTATGGAAGCCTTTACAAACTCCATTAGTATTTGGACAAGGCCTTAAGCAAAATGGAAGTTCTCTCCTCCCTTCAGAGAAAAGTACCTCCTTCTTTGGCCTCTTATTTCCACTGGGGTCTCACTCACAGAGATCTTTCATGTAGGATATTTTTTGCCACAGTTTCTTGGCTTTCCAAGCCTGACAAAGCATAAGCTTTTAAAGCTTAAGCAGGCAGAGGGGCCTAGCTAATTCAGGGCAACACTAATTCTATAGGATAAAGCCGATATTGGCACGGCTATGCTTCTCCAAACAGCTTGAAGGTCATGTGGTCTAGTAGCTTTCCAGGTGGTCCTAATGGGCCTGGGCCACACCTGGGAGCTGTTTACCTGATTGATAATTGCAAGACCCTTCAACAGAGAGCAGAGAGCGGTGGGGGAAATGTGCTTGGGGCTCCTGCCCCCACAAGCAGTCAAGCCTTCCCTGGAGGCACAGTGTTCCATGCCCTCCTAAACTCCTGCATGGGCTAGGAGGCAATCCTCCAGCCACTTATTTGTTTTTAAGAACAAAAATATTTTATTGCAGAGTCAGCATATGGTTCCACAGCTTTGCCAGGGGAACAAGGAGTCCATAGCCTTGCCTGACTCCTGTGTCAGGATAGAGATTAAGGCCCAGGGTCCTTTGGGCTCTCCTTGAGAAACTTAAAAGATAATTTTTAAAAAGCAGTTTAGTAAATGTTTTTATTGTGAAAATCACAAATGCATTCTTTAAAATTAGGCCCAGGTTTCCTGTTACAGCAGTGTATGTAGTCAAGAACAATGTATCCCTGGGGCTGACATTGTTGCTTAGTGGGTAATGCCACTGCCTGAGATGCCAGCATCGCATTTGGGCACTGGTTTGTGTGCAGGCTGCTCTACTTCACTTCCAGCTCCCTGCCAGTGTACCTAGGAACGTAGGGAAAAATGGATCAAGTGCTTGGGTCTTTGCCACCCACATGGGAAACCCAAATGCAGTATCTGGCTTCTGCCTGGCCAAGCCCTGGCCATTGTTGCCATTTGGGGAATAAACCAGTGGATGGAATATCTCTCTGTCTCTCCCTCTCTATTATCCTACCTTTCCAACAAATAACATCTTCTTTAAAAATATTGTTTCTCGGAGCCTAGAGGAAGATGCTCTTTGGAAAACTGCCAAACGTTTTATACACATACCCGAGCACACACACATATCTTTGCACTCGAGAAGTTCATGTGAAACAGGAAAACTGAAACTTAGCCAGAAAGCCAAAGTATGTGTGAGGTGGAGTTTGAGACTCCTTCACTGGCTGGGAATTGGATAACTCTCAGAAAGGAGGAGCTTATAATAGGATAGCCAAAAAAAATTTCCTGAAATACCTAGTCAGCCCTTCACTGTGTATGGGAAGTTGTTTAAAGGAGCATAATGGAAAATAATGGCTGAAAGGCAGAAGCAGCTGAATAGAGATTTCAGCTGCTACCTTCTGCAATGGAGATAATTTGGTGTTTAATTATCTACTATTGGCCGGCGCTGCAGCTCACTAGGCTAATCCTCCACCTTGCAGCGCCGGCACACCGGGTTCTAGTCCCGGTCGGGGCGCTGGATTCTGTCCCGGTTGCCCCTCTTCCAGGCCAGCTCTCTGCTGTGGCCAGGGAGTGCAGTGGAGGATGGCCCAAGTCCTTGGGCCCTGCACCCCATGGGAGACCAGGAGAAGCACCTGGCTCCTGCCATCGGATCAGCGCGGTGCGCCGGCCGTAGCGGCCATTGGAGGGTGAACCAACGGCAAAGGAAGACCTTTCTGTCTCTCTCTCTCACTGTCCACTCTGCCTGTCAAAAATAAATAAATAAATAAATAAATAAATAAATAAATACAGCTTTGTAATTACTGGTTTTAGGTTAGTATGTTTTTTCTATAGATAGTCACACTGAGGATAAGGGATCATATCTGTCTTGTTAATGATGAGGACCTCAGTGTTCACCTAATTTCAACTCCATAGTTAGGCCACAGAACATGATGGAGGCATTCCCAATCCTCTTCAGTCATACACATTATATGTAATACATAATCTTTTCAGTATTAATATAGAGAATATTCATTAATTTATGTGATTTTTATTTTTAAAGTGTCTTTTCTCCATACTATAGTTTGTTTAGAGGTTCTTCACTGGTACTGAAAGTAATAAAAAATAAGGAGCCTTGCTTTGTGTGCCAGGCCTATAGGATTTTGGTTTTAAGTGAAAGGGTTTAACAAAGTCCCTTTAGTATTTAGTGCTTTTTAACCAGAGGGTCTAACTAAATTCTTGAGGAATATTTTTAAAATGTGCAAGCTCAGGACCCCATCCCCAGAAATTTTGGTTGAATAGTGCTAACTTTTTGTTGTTTGTGGGATTCTGTTTTTAACTATTAGTGATAGATGTACAATATGCAATTTTAAACTATGTGGAAGGCAGATAGTAAATACTAAAGATTGCAGCGTATACTCTAAGGTAGTCATTGTTAATGGTTTCTTTTTTGTTTGGTTTTGAGAAATACAGACAGACAGCTGCCATACCCTGATTCACTCTCTAAATGCCTGCAGCCTGCAGTAGCCTGAGCTGGGCTGATGCCAAAGCCAAGAGCTGGGATTGCAGTCCCTGTCTCCTGTGTGGGTGTCAGGAATCCATTTACTTGAACCATCACTGTTGTCTTCTAGGGTCTGTATTAGCAGGAAGGTAGTTAGGAACCAGAGCCACAAATGTGAGACACAGATGTCTTAACAACTGGGCTAAATGCCACATCTGTTACTGGTTTCCTTAACATATTTTTCCAGAAATTGTATATACATATGTAAGCCTGTGTGTTTTTTTTTTCTACACATGGGCTCATACTATACATGCTGTTTTGCCATTTTCATTGTTCAGTCAGCATTCTATGTAAGAATGTTGATTTTTTTTAACTAATAAAGCATTTACTAGATACCAACTTTTTTTTTTTTTTTTTAAATATCTATTTGAAAGGCAGAGTTACAGAGAGAAAGGGAGAGACAGATCTTCCATTGGCTGGTTCACTCCCCAAATGGCATCAAGGTCTGTGGCTGGACCAGACTGAAGCCAGGAGCCTGGAACTGCAGGTGAGTCTCCCACATGGGTGGCAGGGGCCTAAGCACTGTGTCATCTGCTGGCTCCCAGACCTATTAGCAGGGAGTGGGATTGGAAGTGGAGCAGCTCGGAGGGGCTCAAACCAGCACCCATATATGATGTAGGGGTTGTCAACCATGGCTTAACCCAGTGCTCCGTAGCTCCAGCCCTAAATCCTCATTTCATTACACTTAAATTGTGGTTGGTTCATTTAAGAGCCCCATTTTCTAGGTTTTATATGGCTTTATTTCTTTTGTGTTTCTTTTTTTGTTTGTTTGTTTGTTTCTTCAACTAGACTGATGGATTTCCTTGTATCCTTGTATCTTGAAGGGTAAATTTTACATGTAAGATTGCTGGGTAGAAAAACATTTATTTCCATTTTAAAGTTTAATATATTGGGGCCAGCACCGTGGCGCACTAGGTTAATCCTCCGCCTGCGGCACCAGCATCCCATATGGTTGCCAGTTCTAGTCCCGGTTGCTCCTCTTCCAGTCCAGCTCTCTGCTGTGGTCGGGGATAGCACTAGAAGATGGCCCAAGTGCTTGGGCCCCTGCACCGGCATGGGACCGGGAAGAAGCACCTGGCTCCTGGCTTCAGATCGGTGCAGCTCTGGCCATTGCAGCCATTTGGGGAGTGAACCAACGGAAGGAAGACCTTTCTCTCACGGTCTGTAACTCTACCTGTCAAATAATTAAATTTTTTATTTTTTTTAAAGATTATTTATAATGCCATATTGATTCCCTAAAATTGTGGGGATTTGTATACTTCGCAGCAGCATACAGATACTTGTTTGACTACACATTCATCAACGCTTTATAACCTTTGTCAACCTGATATGCACAAAGTTGGTATCTAATGTTTGAAATTTTCATTTCTTTAGTTTTAATTGTTGAATACTGTTTGCTGTCTTCCTAATTTTTGTAGTTCTTTTCCTCCAGGCTTTTGCATCTTAGCTCATTTTATTCTTAGTTTGTAAGTCTTTTTCTTACTGTTTGAAAGCTATTTGTACAGGGGCCAGCATTGTGTTGCAGGTGCCACCTGTGATGTTGGCATCCCTTGTGGGCACCAGTACGTGTCTTGGCTGCTCCACTTCAGTTCCAGCTCCCTGCTAATGGCCTGGAAAAAGCAACAAAAGGTGACCCGAATGTTTGGGCCCCTGCCACCCACGTGGGAGACCTGGATGATGTTCCTGGCTCCTGGCTTCAGCCTGGCCTAGCCCTGGTTGTTACAGCCATGTGGTGAGAGAACCAGCAGATGGAATATCTGTTTCTCTCCTCTCTCTCTTTATCTGTGCAAATTGACTTTCAAGTAGATTTTTTTTAAAAAAAAGCTGTTAGTACAATAAGGAAGATTAGTCTTTGATATGCTTGTTTTCTCTTACTTTATGTGTAGTATTTTTTTAATCTTACAAGAACACTACATTTGGGACTGGTGCTGTGGTGTAGTAGGCTAAGCTTCCACCTGCAGCGCTGGCAACCCATATGGGCACCAGTTCATATACTGGCTGCACCTCCGATCCAACTCTCTGCCATGGCCTGGGAAAGCAGTAGAAGATGGCCCAGGCTGTTGGGCCCCTGCACCCACGTGGGAGACCTGGAAGAAGCTCCTGGCTCTGGATCTGCCCAGCTCCAGCTGTTGCAGCCATTTTGGGAGTGAACCAGCGGATGGAAGACTTTTCTGTCTTTCCCTCTTCCTGTCTGTGATTCTGCCTCTCAATAAATAAAATCTTAAAAAAAAAAACACATTTTTAATATTCAGATTTATTTATTTTATTTTGAATCTTGTTCATGTGTTTGCAATAGTTAAGGCCTCCTAGATAGGATATTCCACTTTCCTTATGTGATTTTCTCTTGGATAGTAATTAATGTGTTTGTTAAATTTCTGAAAGTATTTTGAAAGATTCTTCAAGTGATAATGAGTACTATTTGGTTTGAGTACCATTGGTTTAACATTTTAGATGATAAAGTCTTAGGACAAGGAAGCTGACATTGTGGCATAGCAGGTAAAGCCGCTGCCTACAATGCTGGCATCCGCTATGGACGCTGGTTGTCTCAGCTGCTCCACTTGTGATCCAGCTCCCTGCTAATGGCTTGTGAAAAGCAGAAGATGGCCCACGTGTTTAGCTCCCACCACCTATGTGGGATACCTGGATGAAACTCCTGGCTTCAGCCTGGCCGGGTCCTGGCTATTGTGGCCATATCAGGAATGAACTGGAAGATGGAAGCGCTCTCCCTCCCTCCTCCTCACTGTCTTTCCCTCTCTTTCTCTCTGTAACTGTTTCAAAATAGTAAATAAATCTTAAAGTATGAAATGTAAAGAATTCTTTTTTTACAAAAAGTCTTATGACCCAAGGTGGGCTTGCTATACCTTTACTATAATACATTTACTGGGGACGGGGACTGGTGCTGTGGCATAGTAGGTTAAGCCTCCATCTGTGGCACCAGCATTGGTATGAGTGCCAGTTCGCATCCTGGCTGCTTCTCTTCCTATCCAGTTTCCTGCTGATTCCCTGGGAAAGCAGTGGAAGATGGAACAAGTGCTTAGACCTGCACCAGCATGGGAGATCCAAAAGAAGCTTCTGGCTCCTGGCTTTGGATCAGCCCAGCTCCAGCTGCTGTGGCCATTTAGGGAGTAAACCAGCGGATAGAACACTGCTCTCTCTCTGAAATTCTGCCTCTCAAGTCTTTAAAAACAAAATACATATATTGAACTCAGTACAGAGAAAATTTTGAAATGTAAGATAAAGTAAAAACATGCAAAGGAAAAAATGGCAGATGATTTTAGAGAAATCTATCATTATACTGTATGTTTTTCCTCAAATTTGAGGCGGAATACTGCAAATAACAGGAAAATAAACTAGAGGACACTCATGAATTTTGGCTGAGTGAAATATTTTTCCAGATTTTGTCTTGGAAAACCATTATGACTTTCTCAAGGATATGTGTCATCATCAGCTCCAGAAGCTCTTTTTTTTTTTTTGACTTTTTAGTTGTGTTGTGACAGTCATCCAAAAAAGAGCATTAACCATGAGTTTGTCAGTTGTTTATCACAAAGTGAACATTGTTGAATCTACTACACAAGAAAATTTCCTTTGCTCCCCTGTCCCTCAAAGATAGCCACAGTCTTAACATTGCATATTTGTTCTACCTGTTCTGAAGTTTATATAGATGGGATCATATAGCACATTCTGTGTGAGTTTTTTTTTTTCTTATTTTGTGTGTATAACGGTATTATTCATTTTCACTGCCTTATTCACTGGAGTATGAATCTACTACAACTTACCTATTCTGCTGTTCATGGAAATGTGAATTGTAAGTTTGATGCAAAAGAAATTTTGAAATCCACATAGTTTTTTTACAAAATATATTTTTCCACGGCCTTTTTGAAGACCCTTCATATTTTTAAACAGTTTCCCAATGTTGTGCCATTTTACATTCCCACTGTGAGGGAACTAGTCTTCCACAACCTTGTCAACACTTGGAAATGTTAGTCTTTTATTTTTTTATTTTATTTTTTTAAAGATTTATTTTATTTATTTGAAAGAGTTATAGAGAGAGGTGGAGACAGAGAGGTCTTCCACCCGCTGGTTCACTCCCCAGATGGCCGCAACGGCTGCAACTGCGCTGATCTGGAGTCAGGAGCCACGAGCTTCCTCCAGGTCTCCCACGTGGGCACAGGGGCCCAAGCACTTGGGCCATCTTCTACTGCTCTCCCGGGCCATAGCAGAGAGCTGGATCAGAAGAGGAGCAGCCGGGACTCAAACTGGCTCCCGTATGGGATGCCAGCGCTTCAGGCCAGGGCTTTAACCTGCTGCACCACAGCGCCGGCCCCGAAACGTTAGTCTTAATTTTAGCTATTCTACTGGATGTGTAGTAATCTCTCAATGTGACTTCAATATATTTTTCCTTGATGACCAGTAAAGTTGGCAATATTTATATATCCTTTTGTAAAGTGCCTATTAACTCCTCTACCATTTTTCTGTTGGATTGTATTTATTACTGACTTGGTTTTTCTTTTAACATATTGTGGATACTATCCCTTTATTGGTTATAAATGGTAGATGTCTTCTCTACACTTAATTACTCTCTCTTGATTTTTATTGTCCAACTTATTAGTCTTTTATGGTTAGTGTTTTTCATGTGTCTAAGAAAGCTTTTTATTGAAATATTCTCTTCTGTTGTCTCCTAGAAAGTTTATGGTTTTACTCTTCACATTTAGATTTGTAAAACACATGAAATTGATTTTTGTGTATGGGGTGAACCATAGATCAAGTTCCTTTTCTCAGATGAGTTACCAGTAGACATAGCACTGTCTTTTTCTAGGCCATTCTTAGTGCTCACCAATGTCACTTTTGTCATAAATCAACAATCAGGTATACACACACAGTTTTGTGAAAAAAATGGAATTGAAAGGTACATTATTTTGGTGCCAAAGAATTTTTGAAATCCATAAATAGTTTTTCATAGTACATATTTTACATGAAATGCTTTAAACCCTTGTATTAATGGATTTATGGGTGTTTTTGTGGGGGGCAAAATAAACTTTTAATTCAATTTTCCATGAACTTTTTGAGGTATTTTCATATATGGGACCTTGTTCTCCCTGTGTTCTATTCTATTGGTCTTTGGTATTCATCTTTGTGAATGAATACTGTAATGATACTTAATACTATAACTTATAAGATGTAATTATATCAGGCAGTGTAAGAACTCTTCTGTTCACTTTGTTCTTCAGAATTGTTTATGGTATTCTTATACCTTTTGTATGTACATTTTGTTGTCAGTTAAAAACAAAATATAGTGAGCAATCATTGAGGCAAGAGTGAAAATGAGCAGAAGTTTTATCTGAGAGTTTAGTGATGATTAAGTCAGCTCAATTCTAGAAAGTTTTATTAAGATTAAGCAATGTCCTCATTGCTATTTCAGCGTTCATCTTATATTCCCTTGTAGGCTACTTAAATTGGTCTTGTTTTTCTTAAAAAAAAAAAAAAAGAAAACTAATGGCTGAAGAATACACTTACTTGAATTTTCATAGTTTGTACATTTATATAAACATAGAACAAATCCAATTAAATGATCTTGGTGTTTTGTCTTTTTTCCCCCTCCTAGGACATCTATGATAGCAGTCTTCTGTAAATTCAACTTTTCCAAGAATTCTCTGAAGGAATAAAGTAGGATTTTCTTACATCATGACTTAATTTGAATGCAAGACCAAGAAATAAGTTGTGTATCTAAATATAATGAAGGGCTGTGTGTGAACACTGACCCTGACTCAATTCTAATGAACATTTTAGACATGAGTTTACATCGGCAAATGGGTTCAGATCGAGACCTTCAGTCTTCTGCTTCATCTGTGAGCTTGCCTTCAGTCAAAAAGGCACCCAAAAAAAGAAGAATTTCAATAGGCGCTCTGTTTCGGAGGAAAAAGGATAACAAACGTAAATCAAGGGAGCTAAATGGCGGAGTGGACGGAATTGCGAGTATTGAAAGTATACATTCTGAAATGTGTACTGATAAGAACTCCATTTTCTCTACAAATACCTCTTCTGAGAATGGATTAACTTCCATCAGCAAACAAATTGGAGACTTTATAGAGTGCCCTTTGTGTCTCTTGCGGCATTCTAAAGACAGATTTCCTGATATAATGACATGTCACCATAGATCTTGTGTGGATTGCTTACGACAATATCTAAGGATAGAAATCTCTGAAAGCAGAGTTAATATCAGTTGCCCAGAATGTACTGAACGGTTTAATCCTCATGATATTCGCTTGATATTAAGTGATGATGTCCTGATGGAAAAATATGAAGAATTTATGCTTAGACGATGGCTTGTTGCAGATCCTGATTGTAGATGGTGTCCGGCTCCAGACTGTGGGTAAGAAGATATTGTTTGGTTTTTCTTCAATAAATTTTTTCTTCTTTTTGAATAAAATAAGAATTTGCTGATTCTTACTCAAAATAAAAATCTTATGCCAGAGAATTCATTCATTTAAGAAACATGTTTTGAGTGTGTACCATGTCAGGCAGAGTGTTAGCTGTTAAAAGCAGGAATCCTATCGTATTTATACTATCTCAGCAGTTACTTATTCACTTAACAGCATTTTTGGAAGAAAAGGATATGCAAACTTGATTTTCTCCACCCATTTGGAGATTTTCTTATATTGGAATAAGGAGGTTATTTCTGGTGATTAACTTTAAATGACCCCTTTGAAAGGTATCTTAACGTATGCCACAGTATGATGGGTTCATGTTGGTATATATAAGCGTTTGCGAATCTCATGAGCTGGGGGGGTGGGAGGTTATGTAATACTTTATTTGCTTCAAGTTTAATTAAAATACCATTTTCCCAGCACTTAAAATAGAGGCTTTTGGTGCATCAACTTTAAATTGCTGCTTGGGATTCCTGCTACTTGGGAGTGCCTAGCTCAAGTCTAGCTACTGTACTTCAAATCCAGCTTCCTACTATTGTGCGTCCTGGCTTGCAGCGGATGATGGCTCAAGTACTTGACCCCTTGCCACCCATGTGAGACACACTCAGATGGCGTGCTAGGCTTCTAATTTCGGCCTTGCCAAGCCCTGAATTTTGCAGGCATTTGGGGAGTGAACCAGTGTATGGAAAATCAATTTCTCTGTTTCTTCCTCTCTGCCTTTTAAATAAATTTTTAAAAAATTTTAATAATCATTTTGTTTATATATGTTCATGTTAACAGCCATCTTATTTACTTATTAGCAAACCATCTTATTAGCAAATTTTATCTGGGAATAGGTTCTTGATTGATTGATCGATTTTATTTTATTTGAAAGGCAGAATTACAGAGAAGCAGAGTCAGAGAGAGAGAGAGAGACAGAGAGCGAGCAAGCGAGAGGTCTTCTATCTGCTGGTACACTCCCCAGTTGGCCTCAATGGCCAGAGCTGTGACGGTCCGAAGCCAGGAACTTCTTCCGAGTCTCCCACGTGGGTACAGGGGCCCGAGGACTTGGGCCAACATCCACAGCTTTCCCAGGCCATAGCAGAGAGCCAAATTGGAAGTGGAGCAGCCAAGACTTGAACTGGCGCCCTATATGGTATGCTGGCACTGCAGGCGGCAGCCTTACTCGCTACACCCCCAGCCATCATATTTAAATAACATATCTTATATGTAGTTGTCAGAATTAGGGAAAAAAACTCATGCTCTTTAAGAATGAGTAAAACCCACAATGAGATTTAGCATACCTTAGTAAGAGTTTGGGAAAACCTAGAATTTAAGATTAACTGGGTACAATCTCAGAGGCAAGACTGAAAGGTGAGTTTAATTTATCATTATGATTTCAGAATTCATATGAATCAAATCCATTATAGAAAATGTTGGGGCCGGTGCCGTGGCTCACTAGGCTAATCCTCTGCCTTGCGGCGCCGGCACACCGGGTTCTAGTCCCGCTTGGGGCGCCGGATTCTGTCCCAGTTGCCCCTCTTCCAGGCCAGCTCTCTGCTGTGGCCCGGGAGTGCAGTGGAGGATGACCCAAGTGCTTGGGCCCTGCACCCCATGGGAGACCAGGAAAAGCACCTGGCTCCTGGCTTCGGATCAGCGCGATGCGCTGGCCGCAGCACACTGGCTGCGGCAACCATTGGAGTGTGAACCAACGGCAAAAAAGGAAGACCTTTCTCTTTGTCTCTCTCTCTCTGTCCACTCTGTCAAAAAATTAAAAAAAAAAAAATGTTGGGTAGTAAATTTTCAGATTGCATCAACCCTGTATTCCACAATTTTAAATGAGAAAAATAGTGTTTTTTGCTCATGCAAATCTTAACTTTCTCAGATATCAACACTTTATCAAGGATTTCGTATAATGCACAACACTGAGAAATTATTTAATTATTTAACATTTTGTGAATTCATTAATTGTATGTAAGACTCAAAAATACTGTTTGATATCAAATTAGAATTATATTGTCCGACATTATAGAGAACTTGTACTATAAGTAACAATATGTCAAAGATATTATCTAAACTAAGCTAACGTTAATTGTGCTTCCAGGTGTAGTGACAGAAGCGAACTCAGGGACCCATAAAGTGTTAAATTCTCAAGAAAAAGATAATAGGGACCATGAACAGTACCTTTAAATAACTTGAGCAAGAGACAGTGACAAAAAAATATGATTGTATCACATTTGATCCCAGGAACCCCTGCTCATTTTTACTGATAGAAATATGCTAGTCCTGGGCTGGCGCCGTGGCTCACTTGGTTAATCCTCCGCCTGTGGTGCCAGCATCCCATATCGGCGCCGGATTCCAGTCCCAGTTGCTCTTCTTCCAGTCCAGCTCGCTGCTGTGGCCCTGGAAGGCAGTGGAGGATGGCCCAAGTGCTTGGGCCCTGCACTCTCTTGGTTGACCAGGAGGAAGCACCTAGCTCCTGGCTTCAGATCAGCATAGTTCTGACCGTAGCGGCCATTTGGGGGGTGAACCAACAGAAGGAAGACCTTTCTCTCTCTCTCTCTAACTCTGTCTGACTATCTCTGTCTGTCGAAGAAATTTGTTAAAAAAAAGAAATATGCAAGTCCTATCCTTTTTCAAGTGTTCGTTCGTTCGTTCTTTTTTTTTTTTTTGTATAGGCAGAGTGGACAGTGAGAGAGAGAGAGAAAGGTCTTCCTTTTGCCGTTGGTTCATCCTCCAATGGCTGCCGTGGCTGGCGCACCGCGCTGATCCGAAGGGAGGAGTCTCCTATGGGGTGCAGGGCCCAAGCACTTGGGCCATCCTCCACTGCACTCCCGGGCCACAGCAGAGAGCTGGCCTGGAAGAGGGGCAACCGGGACAGAATCCGGTACCCCGACTGGGACTAGAACCTGGTGTGCCGGCGCCGCAAGGCGGAGGATTAGCCTAGTGAGCGACAGCGCCGGCTCAAGTGTAAGATTGTGAATTATATGATCTTCTACTGATAATGTTCTTAATTTATGTGGTAGATACAGGAGTATTCATTTTTTATTCTTTACATGCCTTTTGTAAATATGATATTAGTAAAATTCAAACATTTTTTGGAAGCTCATATTTGGGAATAATTTTCTTGTTGACACCTTGTTGAAAAGTAAAATGCTCCAGCATTCTAAATAATTTAGAGAATATAAATGTTAAGTATAAAATATTGTAAAATAATAGAAACACCTACTTTAGAAGATTCTATGAAAATAACCATTATAAATTTAATAAGGAATTATTAATTTTTGGTGTTGATTGTTAGTCATCTTACCCACATGACAGAAAAAAACACGTTAGAGATTAATTGCTTTTACTAATGTATTTTCATTTATATTAGACTCATGCTTGCTCTTTAGTTAGGAGTATGTATGATATCTTCAATGATGGTACAGATTTATGGTTGTGTCATGTCAAAAGCATCACCCAGTAGCCTCAAATTCATATGTGTACTTTCAACAAATAGAATTCTGTATGGGCTTTCATTAAGTACGTTTGACTTTTTATGAGCATGTGCAGACCTATCCTGCCATACTGGTGTCAGGAGTAAGTGGGGTAGTTGTTGCATGTTATTACGAGCTAAATGCCTAATGCAGAAGAAATTTCTCATAGCTCTTCCTATTCGTTATTTCCATTCTGAATTTTATTTTTGTTTTTTAATCATACAGTCATTTATGTGTTTAATGTACTTGTGTTTTAGGTACTGGAGATTTAATAATGAATAAAAGATAAACTTTCTGCCTTCTTGGAGTTTAAAAGGGACCCCCCCACACCAAAACTCCATTTATTATTTAAATCTGGCATAAGGAATACTAGTAAATATGTGAATATTTGGCAATTATTTATAGAAATGCTATATTCTACAGTATTCCCTATGCCAGATTTAAATAATTGCCAAATATTCACATATTTATGAATTCACAAATATAAATTCATATATTATATATATATACACACACACTTGGTACTATGGGTAAGCATTTTTATAAATGTCAAACATTTACATATATATGTCTGACATTTATATATATAGCTATATATGCCATATATATGTGTGGGTGTATAGCATTTAACCCATTTCATTGTACAACATACTTGAAAAGATTTTTCCAGAGATGCTAAATATTAAATTAAAAATTTTTCCACTTACTTTTGGTATTCATCTGTATGGCCATGTTCTGTAACTGACATGTTTTACCTTAAATATGTAGTTTAGGGGCCGTTGCCGTGGCTCACTTGGTTAATCCTCCGCCTGTGGTGCTGGCATCCCATATCGGCGCCGGGTTCTAGTCCTGGTTGCTCCTCTTCCAGTCCAGCTCTCTGCTGTGGCCCTGGAAGGCAGTGGAGGATGGCCCAAGTGCTTGGGCCCTGCACCCTCTTTGTTGACCAGGAGGAAGCACCTGGCTCCTGGCTTCGGATCAGCACAGTGGGCCGGCCGTAGTGGCCATTTGGGGGGTGAACCAACAGAAGGAAGACCTTTCTCTCTGTCTCTCTCTCTCACTGTCTATCTCTGTCTGTCAAAAAAAAAAAAAAAAAAGTAGTTTAACACACCCTGAGAAATACTCTTCATACTTCAGAGTAGAGAAGAGTGCTACCTGACCTGGTTTCATTTGAGATCTCTGAGGTAATATTCTTTCCACTCATTTGAGGGTCAGGCTAAGCTTGTTTACAGAATGATATTTCTAAAACCATTGTTGAGAAGGTGCCTGGAGAGCCAAATCTGAGCGCTTTGATTTAAACAGAGTGAGGTTAGCTAGCCTCCTTCTAGAATACACCAGTCCTCAGGGTCAAAAAAAGTTGGGCCATGACTGGGGAGAAAGAGTGAGGAACATAAGAAGAGGGAAAGCACAGAACGGGTCCTGGATAAAAACATCTGCTAACCTTCTGTCCAGGAGGCCTACTTTATCCATTATTTAGGCGGATGCTTAAA